AAGTTAATAACATAGGTGGCAGTACAGGACTGGCTTCAGCACCCTCCGGGCTGTTTCACAGGGGACAAAGCCCACCCCCACTGACTAGGACCCGGGATATTTTTTAGTACTCGGCTGATGCTCTCACCCATCGTGAACTCAAGGTGGCCAACATTGCTTCCGCCATGTTGGTCATCTGTTTTTGCCGCTACTTCACAGAGAACTCTTCGTGTCCTTTCTTTTTCCTTCATTTCTTTATTTATTGAGCAGCTGCATCGCCTCTTCGTGCACTACCGCAGAAATTAGAAGAGTTGCTTGTTGGGAAACTTGATACATCCTTACTAAACTACAAAAGCCACAAAACGTCGAAATCGGAAAAGGCGGAGCAGTAGAAACAGAGACAGAGAGTAGAGACGTGGTCCCGCCGCGGTGGTCTAGTGGCTAAGATACGCGGCTGCTGACCCGCAGGTTGCGGGCTCAAATCCCAGCTGTGGCGGCTGCATTTCCGATGGAGGCGGAAATGTAGGCCCGTGTGCTCAGATTTGGGTGCACGTTAAAGAACCCCAGGTGGTCGAAATTTCCGGAGCTCTCCACTACAGCGTCTCTCATAATCATATGGTGGTTTTGGGACGTTAAACCCCTCAAATCAATCAAATCAATCAATCGAAAGTTTTATGTCACACAAACTGCTTATTGTGCCGAGCTGCGCAATTCTCTTGCGGAGACCCGCGAGTTTGCTGGGTGCAGAACAGACCAGTGGGACATTGATCCGGGCCTCAACCTTCTTCAACCTGTGCGATATGCCATGGACGTATGGCATAACCACAAACTTCTCCTGTTCTCGAACACCATCATCGTTTCTGTGTTCTCCAACACCAGCATCAGTTCTGTGTTTTACATTGAGGCGCTTAAATTCATGTTCAGCAACAGAGGCTATTAGCGACTTTGGGTTGCCTTCCAACAAAAGCTTATTTTACTGCTCAGTAATGCTATTTTCCATTTTATGAGTACAGCTATTCGTAACAATATTTGTCAAGCAAAGATTGACCATACCTCGTTTCACCAGCTTGGAGTGTAGAGGAATTATAGGGCAAAATACTCTTTTAGTTCTTAGACTACACTTACAGCACACGTGAACATGAGAATAAAACGTAAGTGTGAGGCCTAAACACCTAATAGAATTTTCCTGTGGAACTTTATGCGTGAAACTAAAATGTGAACAGCATGCTTGAAATACTGAAATGATGTTACCAAAGGCATGTAGAACACAATCACTCCCCCAACGCTAAGAACAACATTAAAATAATCAACATATCTAAAAATATAGACCACCCAGGTGATCATCGAGGCTTTGGCACAAGCGTCTGTCGAAATTGGCCAAAAAGTGCTGCAAAGCACCAGAGCAACACAAGACCCTATGAATATACCATTTTTTTATTTTTTGTAAACACAATTTACCAAAAATGTGCCGACAAATAAAAAGTTTGAAAGTTCAATAAAGTTCTCAGTTGCAAGGCAGCACGTCCTTTGAAAAGAGGTCTTGCCATGTACCCCAATCACCTCGCAGAGAACTGAAAACAGTTTGTTATGGGGTACAGAATAATACAGCTCTTCAATGTCGAAAGATAAAGCTGTGTACGCTACCATCTCTTCCGTCCTCAGAGCCTCACCAGCACACTCGAACTGTCAATGCTACACGAATCAGCGGAAACAAGAGCTTTTAGCGAGCCTTGCAGAAACCTACCAACAAGTTTCAGCCAAGAAACTTCCTCAGTAACAATGGCTCTCATAGGGAGCTCCGGCTTATGCGCCTCAAGCGTTAAAAGCACAGAGAGCAAATCACCTACGCTCTTTTTCGCTGACTTCCCTACGGCCTCGAAGGTAAGCTGTTCCATGAGTTTATTTTATTTCATTTCATTTCGATTCTTCAGGGCAAAATCGTTACACTTTGTTTCGGGGGACACAACTAAAGGCTAAATAAACGCCTTATTAGGTCGTGCCACCCTGCAGCAAGAGCATAGACACACCAACGAGCATTTTTTGTACAGAATACACTGGTACATAATCATCCAGAATGTTTACAGGAATAAAGAAAATTATAAGTTCACAAATATATAAACACAGTTGTCTTAAAGTGATATTGATAAACTGAACGTGCACTCATAGTGAGCCACAAACAAAAGAAAGATAATAAAAATAGTCTCTCACCGCTATTGCGAGAGCATCGTTCTTGATTTTTACAGGGTTTAGGGCAACCCCTGTGAAGTTCTTGTTCAGTGCTTTTCTTGCTTTTTGGTGGAAGGTATCATAAGGAAGAACAACAAATCCCCCTTCTTTGTAAGCTTGCAATAACCGAAGGTCATTTCCCCCAAAATACCGCACCAATGGTCGCAAGAGCTTATCCTATGAACCACTTGACGCTTCAGACCTCCGAAGTTGGTCAAGACCTTCCGACAATGTTTGTTTTAAAAAAGAATATTTGTTATTAGCACAAAGGTAATTCACTTAGATTAGCTCGCCAGATGTTTTTAGTGTGTTATCTGCGCATGCATTGTACGGACTTGGGAGGGAGGTTGTTCCGAAATGAACGTCAGTCGTTAGTGCCGCGTCTCTGCCCATCGTCTCTGTTTCTACTGCTCCACCTTTTCCGATTTCGACGTTTTGTGGATTTTGCGGCTTACTACCTGCCGCTGGGAATATATGCACTACTAGCTCAATTGACATCCATTTTTACACATAAAGCGTAGTAAAAGTTATGATTACATTGAAATTTTGCAATGTTTGACGGAAGACCATTCCTACAAAAGAATGAATGACGTAAAGTGTCACTTTAAAAAATTCCGGAACATTCAAAGAATAGTCCCTTCTTCATGAGATATATATTGGTAATGCGATGTGTTTGTTTCTGTCAACGCCTATTTTTAAATAATAAATGCCATGAAAAAATTTGAGTCTCAGAGCTTTCTGTTTGATCTTCGATTCCTGCCATAGAAGCGCAAGCGTATTCTCAAAAAAAACTGAGGTTTATGTCATAATTTCCAAAAACAAACCAAATAACCCTATTCGGATTTTTTTTCTAGTAAGTCGACTGACCGACAAGTATGAGGATCCCAGCTTACACAAGCGTACTCAAGTACCAAAGGTACGTGAGTGAAATAGAACCTTCCTTTCATGTTACTAAAACTTTTTGCTATATTTAGACGTAGGAGGCCCAGTTTGCGTGCTGCCTTCCTTCTTATTTTCTGTACATTCCTCCTTCACCTTAAGTCCGAAGTAAAAAACTGCTAAGTAAATATATATGAATCCCTGCGTAACGTAACGTTCTTTAATTTGTACGTATATGCACAATGTGATCGTTTCCTTGTAAAGGTGATGATTTAACATTTGAAAACATTAAGAGACATTTTTCATTTCGAGCACCACGCTTAAATTTTATCTAAATCACTCCGAAGGTCCTAAAAGTCACAATCACAATCAGTAACTTGATACGCCACACAGTCGTCTGCAAACATCCTGAAAGATGATTTGTCTAGTGATAATATTTATTTATAATTATAATAATAAAAGCGCAAAGACAGCTTTGGGGTACTCCACAGGTAATCACAACGACTTCAGTGGAGAAGGCATTGAGAACCACAGACTGTTCTCTGTGCGACAGGTATTCGCATTTCCATGTAGTTGCATTCTAGTTCTGTTTGTAGGCGTGCGGCCTGCTAATGAAAATGTCATGAGCTACAACATCGAACGCTTTACGAAATTCAAAAAACATGCAATCAATTTCCTGCCTTTAATCTATTGCTGAAGCCAAATTGCGAGTAAATTCTACAAGCTGCGTACTACAAGAAAAACCTTCCCTAAAACCGTGTCGGTTTGCATTCAAAACGGTATGTTAGGAAGATGCGACGTAATACAACTATATAACATGTTCCATTACTTTGCATGTAATACTAGTTAAAGACACTGGTCTGTAGTTATGTAGTTGTCTTGTCGGCCAATGTGAAAGAATTAAGACCCACTCTGTCATGAGCATGCCTCTTGGGCTCTTCTTAGCCCAAACAGCAAGGTTCTGCGCAGTTTCGAATGTCTTCAATATAGCCGGTGCCGTGTCATTATTAAGATATCCTAACTTGATAATCTACCTATTTCTGAATTTGTCTAGTATCAGCTACCATGTGGACGCAAACACAAAGAAAAAATTTCTGCGTGGAAAATCCACATATTGCCCTTGTGAGCCGCAGAAAGTTCGAACGAAGAAAGGAAGACCCAATACCGCGGAAAAGTATTTCCGAGCATTGTGCTTCCGCTCGCCTTCCGTTTTATGCTCTGTTCTGTGGCAGGCGTAGTGACCAACGAAAGTCGGCAATACTTGTGGAGCTCACTCAAACTCATTCAAGAAACATATTTCGAGCCCTGAACTCACTCGGGCTCTGACTCATGAAAAGTTTTCTGAGCCAGACTCACTTAGACTCACACTCACGAAAATTTTAAATTTTCTTCAGGTGAGCTCATTCGGACTAAACTCACCAAAACATTACTCACTGGAATTCACTCAGACTCACAACACGATCTAAGTCTGAGTGAGTCCTAGTAAGTCGACTCACGAATCCGGACGCCTAGAATTAGCTTCTTCACCAGTGGTGTCAGTGCTTTTTATCACCAATATTTCATGCAATCAGTGCTCTTCTTGGTGCCAATTGACGCAGCATCTTCAAAAACGAGTTATGAGTGCTTTCAAACCAGTAAGGTCAATTTTCTTGAAAGAGATGACAGCATAAACAATATTCATCAAGAAATGTTCTGTAATAGTTGCAGGGGAAAGTTCAAGGACACCCCTTCCCCGGGCAATTCACGTCTCTATTTAATAAATATTGAAATGTTGTATGAACGACACTGCTTTGTAATACCTTTGAGTATACGTGAGCATACACGTGAATCCAAGTAAGGCTTATAATAATGCTTAAGATGACTACATAGCTAATGACCTAAGCCATTACCAATTATATTTTTATCCGGCCACTCACCTGAAAGCACAAAATCGATGTGAGAAACAGCAGATAGTCCAGGCTAGTTTCCCGCCATGACGATGGCCCCAGAGAAAGACACAGTGTCATAACGTATTATTCACACTACCGATTACAATGACCGAGAAAGCAAACAAGCTGTTACTCCCACGAGGCGCTATTCACCACTAAGATGCGAATGGGACGTTTTAGCTTCTTTTCACATGAAGCTCCTCGCACTTTGTAGTGGGCAACGAGCATTGACTGACCTATAGAGACCTACCGCTACGTCCGTATGCAAAAGCTTCTTTTCTCTATCTCATGGAGCGTCGCGCTCTTGCGACAGCGCTAAAGCCGCCGAAGTAGTGAACCATAAAGAATTGATTGGGCGTCCGGCGTGACGGCTTCGACGTGCACAACGCGCCGCCTCAATTGGCGAGAAATGTCTGTCCGACAGCCCTCACGGCCTCGTCTATTCGTGCCACATCAATGTGTTAGTTGCTCTTAATACTTTTCTGCCAGACGTCCAACGCGCTAGAGCAACCCTTTCGTTTCGCGCCGTGCTTTGCTGGGCTGGAACTAGTTAAACGACGTGAGTTCTTAGAACGAAAAAAAGCGCAGCTGATCATTAAAGTGCGGGTGCTCTGAACTAGTATTCTGGTCTAGTGTAGGCGATTCTCACCGATGAATTATGCGTGGTGAAATCAACTCCTTTCACAATTCTCTGACGCTCAAAACATTTTTCTTTTCAATATTGTTCCCATTTCGTCAAGACTGACTATTTTTCTTTTTAGCCTTAGCACTATAAAGTGAGCAAAAAAAAACAGAAAAATTGCACTTGCGTACTATTTTGAGATGCAATAAACTCTGTGCTTAATTTGAAGCAGTAAGGGTCACTTTCTGCTGTTGGGACCAATGTTCTGGAGTTGCCACTTGTGAATCGAAAGGAATTCGCAATAATCCCATACTTTCGTGACCCCGAAATGGAATAGTAATGGAAATGACGACAAAGCTTGGTGAAATGCGATGGTAATTTTCCACGGAAGTGAATGGGAATGAAATTACGACTTTTTCTATAGAGCACATTTTTGTTCAAATAGTGTTTCTTTCAAACTTCAAACATTAGTAAGTCAGACCCTCGAATGTACAATAAAGTAGTAATGTAAAAGGGCTTGTCTGATTACAAGCATATATATAAGCAACAAACCTACTACAATTCCGTTTTATAGGCTATGTTGCACCGAAGTTTTTCGCTATTGTTGGCGTAACAACAGCTCTATGCCATGGCATCCGTCTTGCGGAACTATAAGGTGGCGGTGTACGAACACCTGATTTGCTTGCCCCTCCAAGGCGCCTCCGCCGCTTGCTGTCTCCCGATCCTTCACTTTGTTTTTTTTTTCCTTTTGTCGCCGTCAGTGACTCGGACGATATTCTAAACAGAGCTTGTCTAAATTGTGAAGCAAATTGAAACTAGTGCGATGCTTTTGTTTACAGCCCCCTTTTTTGCAATACTGTCGTGATACTTTGCATGACACTTTGCATGACACTTTATCGTAAAGGTCTGTAGACCAGCGCAGCACATTCGTACGCGATAAACTGGGTGCTGTGTGGACAATATGTACAAGATAATTATAGCAATAGAGATGGAGTAGACTGTTGAAAGCCCTGGTTTGTGTGGCCAGCCAAAGCAGGTGATTCCATGCAACCAAAGTGATGCCTCCCCGAATCCCTACACGACGATTCGCTAAGTTCGTTACTCTAGAATTAACGCATTTTAACCTAAACAATATTGAAATATCATTTTGTTTGAGCATGTACTCTTAGAGAAAAAAGGCATGCTCGCTCACTGACTAAGTACTAACCGTTTACTTGTCAGAAAAAGCACTAACTACTTGGTAAGTGAAGGTAGTAAAATGCTGATTAGCGAAGTTTGCTAGTTCGCTAAGTTGTTCGTGAATAGCGCTTACTCGAATAATTGATACAATGCTGAATTTTTAGTTAATGGGCGTTTTATATGTGCATGTGCATTGCCACATGAAGTTAATGCTGTAACAGGAGCATACTCGTATATAGATAATAAGCGAAGTGCAATTGTTCGCGTAGAAAAATAAGTGGCTTCTAATTATTTCATATATTTAAAATGGCAAGTGTGCATCACAGCAAGAAACACAGATGAGTACATACACGCTACCGCGCATATAGAATACCAAGACCTCGCCGCTATCGTATGCTGTAGCGGTCATTTGAAGGCTATTTATGCTCCTTCTTTAGAACAGCACACTGTGTTCTTCTCAGCAGCCATAAAATTTAGAAAAATTGTGGACGTTTTGTACACATCATCGTCTGCTCTTCTATGTAGGCTGTGTTATCACTCAGCATGAAAGTTTGTCCAAAGTAATTAACAAACTCAAGATTTGTCTAAGTTTTTACTAGTGTCACAATTACTGCAAGATTTCCTACTAATAACAAATATTGAAACTTAACGTGCCAAAACAACCCTATGATTATGAGGGACGCCGTAGTGGAAGGCTCCGGAACATTCGACCACCTGGAGGGTCTTAACGTGCACCTAAATCTAAGCAAACGGGCCTCAAGCCCTTTCACCTCTGTTTTAAAATGCGGCCGCCGTGACCGGGATTTGATCTCGCCTCCTGCAGGTCAGCATCCGAATGCCTTAGCCACGCCTTAGCCACTAAACCACCGTGGCAGTTCTTTGGGGGATATACCGTGGTGTTTACGGCAATATCTGACAACGTATGTGGCTTTGTGGTTACCGTATTAAAAAGACCAAGCAAGCATTCCTGGTTAGTAACAGCGAGAGAGAGAGAGAACGAGAAAAAAAGGAAGGCAGAGAGGTCAACCAGATGCTAGGATCCGGTACGCTACCCTGCACTTCAATTGAGGAATAAGGGATTGAAAAACCAGCTGATAGATATGCATATAGTAAGGAGATGCCGTGAAGGTAGTGAAATATGTTCGCGACAAGTAAGTACATGCGTTGCTAACTGTTTCGTAACTTTTGTTAAACTTGTGCTGACCATGAAAATACTATATGTAGCGTAAAAACTGCCCTTTCAGTTCTTATACATCTGATGACATCAGTTATGCGTTGTTACAATCATTTATAGCTCATTAAAGCTATCAAGATGTACTTTCTCTACATTTAGGAATGGCAGGAATGGCATTGACCTGCCTGGACATTCCCGGAGTGGGAATGGGCAAGGTTTTTTTCATTTTCAGGAACTGAAAAAAATAGAATTACGGCACGTTGCGATTCTCCACAGTGAAATTGGAATATATTAGAGGTGCCATTTTCACGACACTTGTGAAACTATTCTTAACTACCCAGTTTGGCTAAGGAAATGACAAGCGGAACCTTGACATTTATTTTGGCGCAATAACGCACAAAGGAGGAATTGAATTCACAATAACTATTGCACGACAGCGATTGAGCAAGAAATATGTTCCTCTTTTTCTGCAGCAGATGCTAAATTCCTCCAAGCTGAACAACCCTTTTCAAACTGAGCATAGCAAGCAGATTGTTGAGTTGTTTACCTCACAAGCCGATGTTGCCTTCCAAGCATTTCCAAATTACACAAACGATTATGTGAGTCGTAAAAACGTTATAAGGTGATCAGATCTGAACAAGACCGCACGTGCCCACGATCCCATGTAACGCAGAATGTTATGCCAACATTGAATGAAAGCGCCCAGATGTCAGTCAGCAACGTCGCATTAAAGCGCTTAACGTCCTCTTTTTTGATCACATGATAACGTTGCTTGTAACATTGAGGACGATATGGCAACGTCAAGGATCACATTTTCAACATTACGGCAATGTTTTTGCAACATACCAGCAATGTGATGTCAACAGAACAGCGCGACGTGATTGTAGCATACCAGCAACGTGATGTCAACATTGCTGTGTGACGTGTCGACTTTCATGCGACGTGCATAGAAAATATAAACTACTTTGTGTGCGTTATTAATAAAAGGCATATTGACTTGTTACGCGAACCGCCCTGAAGCTTCTAGCTAGGACAAAAGCTCTGGTATGGTGTGAAAAATTGCATTATTGTCCATGCACAAAAACTGTCTCCTAACAGCTCTTTATCAACGTATTAGTACATGCATAAACAAATGGTGTTGGAACAGCCAAGCTATAAAACTTTAAAAACACACTTGTGCATGTCCGTAAGACCAAAACACACTTTTCAAATCCCAAAGCTTTACAAACATGTGATATACATGCTACATTTTTAGAGCATTGAAAGATGTGGTTTTGCTCTGTGTAAGCAATGACTACAATAAGTGAACATGTGTTGAGGGTGCAGTATTTGTATGTACAGAATTGCAGCAACCATGAGGACATGCATTCACACAGCCTAGGCAGGAAAGAACATGCCGAAGTGCCTGACTGCCATATGAAAGAAAAAAAGAAGGCATTTATTGACGAAGATTACTTATTTCTTTTTATTTGTCATTGACACAGAGCTAGACATGAATGGGGTTGTTACAAAACACGTTTGAAGCATTTAGTAATAAATATGAACACGGCACGTTGCAAGTTTCTTTCATACTGTGTCAACTGTTAGGTCGTAAAATACAAATACAGGTGCAAAATGAAAACACAACTTCTTTACACAATCTTAGGAAAAGTTCGACGAATAAAGCTTTTATCAATAGTATTTACAATATCAGGGGGAAAGTTAATCGGCAAGGAAGAAGTCACTGGCGAAACTGCTGTGTGTTAAATACATAGGAGGACACGAATACCATAGACAGCCGTTGCCTTGTCGCTGATTTTCCAACAGTGATGAATGCATTGTATACAATGATGGTTGCCACTGCTATTTACTGTCTATATCATGATTTCATGAACAGAGGCAATATAGAAGCATTGAAAAACTGGCTCATCCTACTCAGGTACACCTTGTTTTGGCGGAGCTTAAAAGGTTCAAAACAAGAACTTGTTTTTACCAAAATTGAAAAACCTGCCGATATCTGTGTAGCAAAACATGTTGCACATCGAAAGAAGCTTATCAGTTTGAAAGCAACTGAACTTAATGATTACTGCCTGACACGCATTCAGGTGAAAAGCGGCTCATAAATTGAGGCCGGTTGATTAAATAAAAATATGTCTTTGAAAGTTAAGGTAGCCGACACCCGGTCAGAAAAAGTGAAACGCGATCAGTGGAGCAACTGCTCAGTGTAATTCGCGCAAAACAGTGACCTCCTAGCCACAGCCAAGCGAGAAATATTGATCACGACATAAGTACAAAAAGCACGCAACT